GGTCAACATAAGGAAGTTGCTGAAGCAAAACTCAAGTCGATCCTGAGGTCTGTAACATTGTCAATCTGGTTTTGGCTGCTACATAGTGTTATATTTTTCTTACTGGCATCTCTCCTGTCAGGTTGTGGAGCTGACTTGCTGCAAAGCAAAGAGAATTATGTGAACAAAGGCGGTTGGCTGCTGAAGCTGCACTAAGTTCATTACCACTGGGAATACTAGTTCGGCAGAACATTGATGTAAGAGTTTTTTCTTATTCTACTTTAATTGCCAGAATGTATAAATAGTTCTAGGTTTTTCTTATTATTAACCGTGCAAGTAATTCTAATTTCCAGTTGCCATTTCTTATTTGAGGCATTTACATTGAACCACAGCCCCTCTTTCCTCCTGAAAAGGATAGTTTCGATTCCATTGCTGGTGGATGTGATATTTATTCATTTTAATTGCTACTTGCATATTTCTATGATTGTGTGTATTCATACTGCATTAGTTGGCAAAATTTTTCTGTCCATTCACTCTATTTATTCTTATTCTTTTATTGATCCTTTGTAGCTATGGAGCACATTTGGTAAGCTTGATTTTGATCATGTAATGAGGGAGAGATGTGAAAAACATGAAAGCTCATGGTCAAGGCTGAATGTTTCAGACGTAGTGTCAGGTATATTGGGTCAAAGAAACCCAGATGCGAAATGCCTATGCTGGAAAATTATTTTATGTTCTCCTGAGAGCAAACAAGGAGATCAACTGATGCAGAAGAGCCAGGTTACTCATTTGGCAACAGGCCCGTGGTTGTTCTCTATGATCATGCCTTTCACAGAAGATAGTAGTGATGAGGATTTAGCAGTCACGTCTCCTGGTTTGTCCATATGGAAGAAACGGGTTCCCAGCCTATATGGTACGGATCTAACCTGCTGTTTGTCTGTTGTGAAGGATGCAAATTGTGATAATCTGGATGAGGCAGTATCTGGAGCAAGTGCAATTTTGTTCCTTGTATCTGACACCATGGAAGCTCCAAAAGGTGCAACTTCATAATCTTCTGACACCAATTCTTCCTGGTTCATGCTTACCTCTGCTGGTCTCAAGTGGTTCTTATAATGTAGATGGTTCAGATCCTTCCTCAGTTATAGTTAATGAATTGGGGCTGCATGACATTGAGAAATCACGATTAAGTGGCTTGTTGGTTCTTTTCCTTATCGGTAAGCAACATCCGAAACACTTGAATGGGTTTTTTAGTGATGAACAGTTAAGGGAAGGACTGAAGTGGCTGGGCAATGAATCACCTCTACAACCTGTTCTTAGTAGTTTGAAGACACGTGAACTTGTTTTGTCCCACTTGAGTCCTTTATTGGAGGTGTTGGATAAAATGAGTGATTCTGAAGTTGGTCCAAATCACTGCATCTCAGTCTTCAATGAAGCGTTGGATCGGTCATTGGGAGAAATTGCTGCTGCTGTTAAAGCAAATTGTACCAATTGGCCTTGTCCTGAGACCATGTTGCTGAAAGATTCTAGCGACGAGCTTTTAGCAGTGAAGTTGTTCTTACCAAGTTTGGGATCGAGCTCAACAGCAAAAACTGCACCACTTGAATGTGCATTGAGAGATAGATTGTAGACTTCCCAGTTTTCCTGATGACATATCATGGTTGCAAAGAGGTTCCAAGATGGGGAAAGATATTGATAACCACAGATTGCTACTCGAAAAGTGCTTGATAGAATACCTTACACAATCTAGCAAGATGATGAGAATTCCTCTTGCTACAAAAGAAACGTCTACGATGCTACAAAGAAACACATGGCTTGAATTGTGCTGCTTGATCTACAATCTAGTGCCAAACTGGATCACAATTGGTGACTTATGGGTTGATCAACTGGGACCTGCTCTTCATCTTATATTTTACAGTGCCATCATGTTGATCCGAAGTCTAGAGATTTACTTAAGTTACAGCTTGAAGGTTGACACTTCACCTTATTGTTTGAGCCATCCATCTCTAGATGAAATAATTGAAGTTGACTCTAGTCCCCTCGAGTCTCAGAGGATTGGCTTGGATCCAGAGCCTTCTCAATTAGAGACAGCCTTCAACATTGAAGTTCCGGAGGCTGCTACACAGACGCATGAATTAGCTATTGCAGATAACATTGCTTGTATAACCAATAAATCAAATAGCAGTTATGGTAAAATAGTGGTGACTGGAACAGAAGAAACTGATAGATTAAGCCAGTTGTTGCAGAAATGTAACATAGTACAGAATTGTATAGGTGAGAAGCTTTCCGTTTACTTCTGATATGTCATATGTTTTGATCTAATGTTTCTTTTGTATGAGTAAATAACAAGGCTTTTCACCTATTAGGCAGCATATCCCCACTCTTTATCTCTTGCTCCCCATGAAAATTCTCTCTTCTTCCAATATCTTCTTTCCAATGAATTGATCTTTAAATTCCTTCTACTAAAAACACGAAAAATAGATTGTCTACAAATCAATCTACTTACATATTTTCATTAATTAGACATTATTATTTAATTTTTCATTTGGATACCTGATGAGAGAGAATAATACAATCATAAAATGGCACTCGTGACATGGTGCGATGAAAAGAATTCTTGCCGTAGATCCATTATACATCCAAAAGAATCCCAAGTCAATCTCAAAGATTAGTTTCTACTATTTCCTAGACCCATTCTTCTGCATGGATATTTAATCATAAGACGGACCAAAAATGGATTAAAAAAAATTGCAGCCCTAGACCTCAAATTTAGGGATTTGCTTTCCTTTGACATTAGAAAATTGCATTTGTTAAGAAGCAAAGAGTAAACCAGCTTATCCAGAATGTATCTGAAATTAATTCATGCCCTGACTTTTACAATTTTCATAAAAGCAGCATTCAGAAAGCTCAAAAGTGTACGCAAAGTCAAGCTACACCTTGCAATTTATAAAGCTATAAAGCTACAATACAAGAGCTTTCCGGGCCCTCTTTCCAACAAAAATTTTTTAATAGAAACAGCAAGAGAAATCATGATTACAAAATTAGTTGAAGTGAGATTTTTTTTTTTTTGTTTAATTCGAAAGGTGATTAATCCCCACTAACTCTGCGTTAGACTGCTAGGCCACGTGTTTAATTTCAATAGCTTTTTTGTCATGATTATTGAATGATTTAGTAGAAAAAGATCATGAATTTTATATTGATTATATATTAAAATCAATTATAAAAAAAATATTTAAATCATTTTTAAATTGTAAAACGTAAAATTTATTGAATTAAAATAAATAATATCTCATAAATTAATATAAATCATGACATTTACATTCTTTCAATCTTTTTTATCAAATCAATTTATACCTACCATAACAGTTCTTTCAATATTTCTTAGTTATATAAACTTTGATTCTGGTATGAGAATTCAATTTAGAACAGAGGCATTACCAGAAAATGTTCTTTTCTGGTATCTGATTTGAAGCATCCAAATTGATGAGCTTGATGCCTTGATTGTGAATATCAGCAACAGACTCTGCAGATCAAAGGGTTTATTCCCCTCAATATGGTAAGAAAATCTCACCACCACCACCATATTTTACCTTACATAAATTTCCTTTCACAGTCAAAATCATTAGTAGAAAAGTTTGTAAATCATGATGTAGAATGTTTCTGATGAAAGTTACCTTAACTGAAATATAAGTTGACATGACAATCACATTTGTGAAACTTTACTATTACTTTCAAATTACACCCATGTTTTTTTAGGAGAAAATACTTGAAAAGGATTCTTACAGTCCTCTTTTTAAACCAAGCCAAGGATTCACTTGGGATTAGTACTTGCATATTGCACACTGAAGATTGAGATGAACACATCACTATTTATTGCATTTCATTTTATCATTTGAACTGGGCTTTTAGTTTCTAACAAAAAAATTTGCTCAAGCCCAAAATCAGGTTAAAACTTAGAAGCATGCCGAAACTGATCTCAATCTGTTTATGTTTTATTTGGATGCGTTATGGGAAGGATTCTCACTGCGCCATGAGTGTCCTTAATCTACTTTGCTTAGGCTAATAAATCATAAACTATTGACTCACTAATCATATACTATGCATTGCTGGTTCTCAATCCCCAATCCATGTTAACTGGCAGCCAAAAATTTAGAGCTAAGACCAAACAATGGGCTTCTCAATTGGATTTGGGCCTCTCAAAGGGCATGGGCCGTGTTTTTGATTGGATTATAACTGTTGGGTGGTACTCACTAGGAGTCTGGAATTTGAAATTTAGAATATTACCAAATGGTCATGGGAATTTTCAATTATTGAGCAAAACCCCTTGATGTATATAGCAATTTTGTGTATTTAGCTAGACCTTGCAATTTATATTATTATGTTATGTAAAATATTATATTTTTATTTATTTTACACAAATTATATATCACAGTTGATGTCGACACAAAAATACAAAATTTAATTTTTTGATTTTATTAAATTTATTTATGATTTTTAAAAAAATTTTAAGTCGTATTATCTCCGTATCTTTTATTCGTATAATTTTAATATTATATTATCATATCGTATTTCAAACTATCAAATGTACATTTAACAAACCAAAAATGCACATACATTGCAAGCAATTGCATTTGTTGTTATCTTTTCATATTTCTTGTTCTCTCTTTTTCTCTTTTTTATCATAAAATTATTTGATAACACAATTTAACTCACGTTAAATTATGATCACGTACAAATTATATAGCAAACGACAAAAAATTTTATTTTAAAATCTTTGCTATAATAAAATATCTGATGACTTTCACGCGAGCTACGTAATCTTAGTAAAGAAATTTTTATGAAAGTACTCATGCAAATTACCATAATCATTCTTAAGTCCCATTCATTTGATTGTTTTTCATTTAAGATTTAAGGTTATGTATTTAAACAAACCGAACAACATGAAATAGAAGAACAATTGAAGAAGAGAGAAAAAAAAAAAAAAAAAGGTGTAATTTGTTTTCTTGATCCTCTAAAACATAATATAGAAGACAAAGGGAGGGAATGGAAAGAAAAGAAAAGAAAAGAAAAGAAGAGAAAGTTTTCATATAAACCTCCAAAACCATGAGAACTTTTTTTTATCCCCCACTACATATAAACGTCAAAAATCTGTAGGCGTGACAATCCCAAGTGGGGTGCATTATCATGGTGATTCCAATTTCCCACATCTTCAACCCCAACCTTTCTGTACTGCCACGTCATCCCTCCTAAAGCCCCTTTCTTTTTTTAATAGTCAACCCCACATTCAACACCCTTTGCAACCAATCAAATCACTCCACATCATCATATATTTTAACCCTTTGATTTTTTTTCCAATTAAAAATTTTCCCCAACTAAACCTCTCTACTTGACTGTTTTAAAGTTTTTAAAACCCTCCCCCCATTTTTTTTATCTACCTTTCTTTTTGGGTTTTTTTTTCCGATGTTATTTCCGGCGAGCGGCCGTGAACGTTTGGAAAACAATGGTACCAGCTGCAGGGAACTCATCCATTGCACAACTCCGACATTTGAGTCCTAGTGGTTCCATGGCATGTGCTACCCTTGTCCAAACTTCATGGCTATTGCTTGTTGTTGAAACTGAAACTGTTGCTGGCTTGAAAACTTGAACAGCTTTCTTCAAGGTTTCAACAATGTCATCTTGGTCATCGTAAATGGACCCAACACACTCGAAGCTAGCGTAGCTGTAGCCATCTTCTGGAGTGACATGAACTGTTGAGTAACGGTCACCATCAATGCCGTTCATGGAGTAGCCACAGGGATCAAATGCAAAGTCACAAATGAAAGCTCCAGGGTTGATGTTGTCGATTCCTGTTAACTCTGTCATTTCTTTTCCAGCTGAGTCCCCTGTTTTGCTATCCCCAGCCTTTTTGTAGAACTTACGTGCGAGAAGGCGGTCGAGTTCTGTCATGCAAACTTCAACAGTGAAGGTCACGTCGGGGGAATGGGGTTTCAAGGCAAAGTAAGGCAGTTGAGTTTGATCACTAGCTGTGAAAACATGCCATGAATAAGAAGGGAGTTTCGAAGGCATAACCGAGGCTTTTCTATAGCAAAGATTGTTGGGGAGGTTTTCTTCAACGTAAATGACTTCTTCTTTGAAGTTGGTGTGAGGGAAAGGTTGTGATTTGGGGAAAATGAAGCTGCCCCTGGTGTACCGACACCCGCATAATGTGAGGCCAAGATTGTTTGCAAAGTGAATCAATGGACGGATTGATTTGAGGAGTTGGGTAGTCCCACAGGTTTTGATGATGATCTTGGTGGGGTAAACAAACAGGCTTGATTCTGATAACACGTAAGCATCAAAGAAATGGTTTCCAACAGCTGATACAACAGTGCATTGGACAGCATGTAAAACATGCTCTAGTGATTCGAAATCAAGCAGCCTAAGCCCCATCTTGTCAACAGTAACCGGATCATCCCCAAAGAAATGGAGCTCCAGGCGCTTCTCAAACCCTTCAAACCCTGAAACAGCCATTTTCTAAACCTTGACAAAACAGAACAACAAACACCCAAAGACAGAAACTTGAAAACAGAAATGGGAACAAGGAGAGAAGACAGAGAAAGGGTAGCTAAATTTGATGGTGGTTGAAGAACTACAGGTGAGAGAGAGAAGTGGGAGCATATAGGATTTTATAGGTGGGTTGAGAGAGAAAGAGTGGGAGGGTGGAAGGGGAAGTGAGAGAAGGGGCATGCGGGTGAGGCAACCAAGAATCATGATTGCAGGCATAATGAAGTGACTAAGATGATGATATGTTGTAAAAAATTTTTCTTTTCTTTTCTTTTTTTTTTCTTTTGTTTTCAAAGAAGAAAATCAGAAATCTTTCATGAGACAAAGGAATACAATGGAACGGGATTTATGCCCACGCGCATGCATTTCAGGTTCTTGTCATGCTCATGCACTCGCTCACTCCCGGCAGCTCTCCCAGTCAGTTCGAATCACTATTCTTCCATTACTCATGAGTACCAATAAACGGCCCTTTAGCTTATCTCTTCAATTGTGGAGCAGAAGAAGCCCTAACATACTGCTTCTGGTTCTTACCATATTCTACTATCCTTTAATCACAACGTTAGTTGAATCAGTAAAAGGAGAAGTAATGTTTTTTGTATCCATTCAGAAACAATCTCATTAACTGTTTTTTATCTCTGATAATCTCAAATTTACAATCAGATTCATTAACCGTTTGATTTTGATGAATTTGGGATCGTTATGGAAGAACAATTAAGGCATACAAAAGGATTTGTAGTTTTTTTTTTTTTTTTATACGTGATTTAGCTCATCCGTTTCAAAGTGTTTCGATTGAATAATTCTTGGTACTAATTTAAGAATGATGCTGTTGGGGAGAACTGATATATAATGGAGAGACCATAGCACAGTAACCATAAGCATAATCCTTGTTTGTTCATGAGCATTTCTGTGAGAGTGACTAAGAATTTTGTCTCAGATTTAGTTCACATGCATACGTGTAATTGTTCTAACACTCTTACTGTCGGCTTCATTGGTAAGTAAAAAACATAACAAGATGAGTTAGCAGTTCAGTGTTTTGCCTTTTTTCTTTTTACTTCAGCAAAATTGGAGGAATTGACCAGTTTTGTATTTTGAGAAAGTTTCTACTGTTCACAGCCAACAAAACATTGATTAGCCAACAAACTGGGGAATTTAGCATGGGATCATCAAATCATTGAAAGATTTTTGGTACGCGATTTTTTTAATTAGAAAAAAAAATTGTCAAAATGGGGGTTGAAGAGCAAAACTAAACCCATTCAGAAAAAGAATTTTGATGTGGATTGAGTCAAAACTTATGGAGAATAACTGTTTCCAAGTCATTGGCATGGGAGTTTTACAGAACAGCAATATAATCATAGGCTGGACCAAATGTTCCAATTCAAGGAAAACAATCATCAGCCTTGCAAATTAGAAATGTCTGGTTATAGATATTTTCAAATAGTTACAGGATTAGCAAGCAAACCAGATAAAACAGGACAAGAACAGAACACAAAACTTATTGCACTAAACTAAAAATCTACAAAATTTTACAGTGACTCCATTTCCTCTTTCGACGGATTTTAACGGTGAATTATTAATTTTATGCATTCAAGATTTTATTTTCTAGATATTTCTAGATCGGATCCTTACCAACTAGATTAATACTCGTGGGTTGATAAATCATTCATCGATATATTTATCTTTTTAATAAAACCTTGTTAGTGAGTAAATAAATCTTTTTGGTATAGAATAGCTTATTGCAATGGAAACTATAGTAGGAAAACATGAGAGCAACTTAGGTTAAATGGACATCTTTGTCCATCTGAGAGAAGGCATCTATGCTGATTAAGAAAAGCTAGACGTGCCAAAAATATCATCAATATTATAGGGTAAAATAATAATTATGCAAACCACAAATTTGCAGAAACAGAAAAAAAAAATACAAAGGGTATCAGGCGTGGCAACTAAATAATGAGAATATCCTTGAATTAGGGGAGGCCCCTGTACGTGAAAATATAAAGCAATCTCACATCATTTTTATTCTCTCCATGAACCCAAAAAGGAAAAAACAAAATTTCATGTAGCTAGGCATTATCATCATTTCTTCTTTTGCATTGCTTAATGCATTCTTCTTAACCATATTCCTAATTCAATCAGAAGCTGTTTTTCTTGTAATACAAGACAGATAGCAGTCCGGGGAAAAAATTATAGATAGATTTGAATTCATATTTATTGGATGATGAAATTGAAGCATTGGAATTTGAATTCAGATTTTTTGAACGTTATTTTTTAAGAGTGATCTTGTGTAAATGAATTAGATTAATCTTATGATTAAGAAGCTGTTTCTTTTAAAACATTATAGTTTTTTCACTTTTTTAAGCTTTGAAAAAGGTTGAATTATGTCCATAATCACCATTTGTTGTCAAATCTTTTGACAACTTTTCCCTGTTAATGCCTCAGTTTGTCACAACATAATTTGAACTGTGATAATACAGGTATATTCTCATGTTTTTAAATCTCCAATCTTCCAACCTTTCAATTTTTTAATTTTGCTGGTCATAAATTATTACATTTCTTGATCAATTAAGCAGAATAGAAAGTTGAACATGGTGATGGTGTAGTGTTTTGTGTAGCTTTAATGAAGATGAACCTAGGCTAGCAAATAAACATGAATTAAAATAATGGAAAATGGAGGCAATTAGTGCCTTTTGGCTAGCTTTTGGAAGTAGTTTCCTAATTGACTTAAACTACCTTCCTCTTGACATTTTTAGTCTTGGCTTTTAATTTAAGACTTCACAGTTCACACCAAAGATTACAAATAATAATAATTCAACATGATAAGCTCAAAGGAAACTTCCCTCTAGAAATATACAGGACAGATACATGAATATGCAAAGGGAAATACAAATTATCTCAAAGATAGATTGCTCCAAATTTAATATTTTTTGTAATATCGTTAAAGATATTTTCGAATTTTGCTTGGACTAAGAATGCATTCGCTCATATCAATATGATTCATTCAAGATTTTTATTTTCACAAAAAGATTTTTCGGATCGAATTTTAATGAATTTAGAAATTTACTTGTACCTATATATGAATCTAATTGTGAAGAATAAAAAGGGTGGAGGACAACAAAATGAAGAGAAGAAATGGGTAGAAAAAGAGGTTGGTAGAGGCAATGATGGAAAATGGTGAGTTTAGAATCAAAATTTGCAGTTTTAAGGGGGAGGGAATGATTCAGAATGTATGCGTCATGAATAAATCTTATGGGTGGCTGGCAGCCACCATTATGACCACAATCCCACATCTTGAGCTGCACGCGCATCCACCAAACTCAGACACCGATCTCATCTCAAGCACACAAAAGTTCATCCCAATCAACCCCAACTCTTTTCAAATTTTCTCTTTTCAAGTTTTTTTTTTTTTTTTGGTTTTTGGTTTTTGTCTGTCTCTTTCAATAAAAATGGTCAAACACTTCCAACAATAATATCCATTTTAATGAAATCAAATCTTACTTAAAAAGTTTCAACCAAACTCTCAACAAAATCCCACCTTTGACATCAAAAGATGCAACCAAAATCTTCATTGTTAGGATTTAATTTATCTTTTGAAGAACTTGGGTAATTTCAATGGACAAAGAAAAGGATCTTGCCAAAAGGAAGGACAAGGAGAAAAAAAAAAAAAGCTAAGCCCCAAACCCAAATCATGCAGCCTAAGCTAAGCTCCATGGTTGGTCCCACTCATCAGTTCAATGTGCCCCCCGACAACCACCGTGGCCAGGCCCCATTGCAACTACACATCATCTAAGATGTGCCCTAAAATCTGAGCACACAAGGGTCCAGCCTTGAATATTTTATTAGACAAATAGCCCCGTAGGGTCCTTGGTTGGTCGACATCTGCATTTCCTAGGGCATTAAACATGTTGCCTTTAGCCGCCACACATGTATCAATACTGTGCAAATGCTACCCACAACTTAATGGCTAGTTTTTTTCTTTGGGAGCACTAATGAATGAGCCTTCGCTGAGTGCTACTGTAACATGCGCACAAAATTTTGTTAAAATTGTACAAAAGGCCCACCACCTCTTTTGTTTTTTAATGTGCTTCCACTGTACTGTTGATAAGTTAGTGCCTAAATGCTCTTGGAGTGAGGCTTTGGGGTTCATTTCATTGTGATATATATCACTTTGAACTTATCAAGCAGCTCTTTTTGGGGGGTGAAGAATATATCATCAGGATTGAATGGTGTCAGTTCTTAATTAGGATCTCTCTTTAACCTCCATTGGTCACTTTCCTGATTTACACAAAGTCACAAACTTGGGATATTTTGGTTTTGCATTAAGTTTACATGACGTTACATTAGGACTACATTTCACTTGTCAAAAACCAAATCTTCCATGGCAGCATATAGCAGTTTTATGATCTGATTGCATTCATTTTTGTTGGGATTGAGTCCTTTCCAAGTGTTTTTTTTTTTTTTTTTATCAAATATTGGAAGAAATTGCAATGGAATAGCTAACTACCATGCGCGTCCATGTTTTAATCAAGTTTTTGGGTAATGTTTGGTTGAATTACACTAGTGAAAGATATATATTTATGTGGATAAGTGGTCACAGAAGGGGGATATAAATGGGGATTTTTGCACTGTTGACAAAGATGTAGCTTGAAGTGAACACCCTCAAAATTTGATGCTGAAAGTGAAAACTGTCCTAATCTAGTTGGATATGGCTCCCACAAGAAATCATACCTCGTAGGTGCTAAGATTTTTGAGGCAAACAAGACATGTTAGAGAGATTTTAAGTGGCCATAACATAATCTTGTAAACGTTAGCCCCACAAAGTCACAGAAAAAAAAGAAGGAAAATACAATCTCTTGCTCACTTTCTCACTCACCCATGAAAATGAGTGAAAATACATGCCTCGAGCCCCAGGCAAGCAAAGGCAAAATCAATTATCCAACCAACAAGGATGAGATCAAATACATATGGAATATAGACAAAGATAGAGCATTCAATATTCCAAGCCATCAACCTCAGCCCCATACATGCCACATCATTCCTCGTGCTTGATCTTGTGGAAAATTAAAACAGTCCCCCCAAAGATATGCAGAACTTTGTGCCTATCTGTTAAAATGAATTTGCTCCACGCAAGAATCATTTTCCTGTGTGACACTTCACTCTGACTCTTACCCCAATTGCCCATGCCTTTACACCACTATTACTACTGTACTGTCTCAAGCCTCTCCTGTCTTATTCGGTTCCTTTCCCCAACAGTTCAAGTCTGCTGTACTGTACAGGAGTTGTTCAGTCCCACCCAATCTTGCTCTGTCTCTGTTCCAATTTTTACTCTACTTTCCTTACATTTGAGACAATGGAAACCCAGCCCCTCCATTTCGGATGTTACCTGCTAAGATTTTTTTGTTCTCGGCTATTTATAATTCATTTATACAGAGATTAATTTCGATGAAATTAAAAATAATAATAATAATTTTAAAAAATTATAATAATTATGATTAAAAAATAAATTTAATAAAAAATTTATATTAAATAAATTTCACTCTAATTAATATTTAAATTTAATTGATAATGATTAAAGTTTAATTATACTTCATTGAAGGTGTAATTGTATCCAAACATTCACCTAATCACTTTGGATGCAGATAAGTGAGATTTTTAATGCTTAAATAGCATTGGACTCTTAATATTTTGGATAACATGTCAATATCCCAAGGTGAGATTGCAAGAAATTCAATCCTTGAAGCTTAACCTTGTTAAAGTTTTGGATTGTAATTTTTAACATGCTTCCAATGATAATTGGATTCAAGCTTTAATTGACAATCACATACTATGTTTTCAAAATTTAAAAGTTTAATTTTAGCTGTAACGGATTAGTTTCTAAATATCCGATTAACTCAACTGATAAGGATGAGAGTTTTGCTGCAATATCAATGACATAACCATGCGTCATTCCTTATGCTTGGTTGCCAAAATTGGACCAACCCAGATTAGAAAAAATATAAAATATAAAAAAAAACAGTAAGTGGACCCATATAAAAGTGAGTGAGAAAGTGCATTCTTTCTTTCATTCTACTGCCAGTGTCTGCTACTACTGCATTGTGAGAGAATTTCAAGAGATTTCATAAAATTTAGAGAGACCCCAAACACTTGTTTTTGATGCCATTGATAATGGCAAATTGGGGCCAAGGGGGTCAGGCATGGATATGTAAACATGGAGGCCATCATGTTCCCTCTGTTCCAAACTCTCTGCCCTCTTTGAAAAAGCTGGTTATTACTATTAAACCTATTAAACCCAACTTTTCTACATATCCCTGACTCCAAAACCCACCTTCCTTTTCAACATTTTTTTCTCTGCACAAATCTCTTTGAAAAGCTCCCTACAGGTTTTCTCACTTTCCCCCAATGAGAGAGCTTTTGGAAGAGCAAAGTGTTATGTGATATGGTGATTAGGCTTTTGGGACAGTGGTCCAAAAGATTGAAAGCACTGCCGACATCTTGGAACTCTAATTAATACTAGTTCTATTAAGTGGTTAGGACAGCATGTTAGATTCTAAATGTGTACCACTTATGATTACCTTCCATTTTTCAAAGCCTTAACTAAGATATGTTGTCAAAGCATATCTCATTGCAAACATTGTTACTTGATTCTCCCCTTGTTTGGCCCCTTAAAAAAATCATTTTTTACTTGTTCATTTAGGAATACTTATCAACTTCAAGCATACATTTTATGTCTATTTAAGAATAAACGTTTTGAGTATTTTAATATTTGAAGATGTATGATTTTTTTTTTCTTTTAAATAGCATATCATTCAAATCTTCTTTCTCGAAATTAAAAAGAAAATCTGATATGAAATCTATTACCTGCATGTAAGGTTTACTAAACTGGTTTGTTTATTGGTGTAAATTGATTATTTGGCATAGATAAAAGTACAACATTTTCCTCGAGTACTAAGGATTTTCTTGCGTCCCAAACAGGCCCTTTGGGAGCCCACCAACTGGTTTCATGAGGCTGTCTTGGTAGACAAAAGAATCAATTAGTCTAGCGAAAGGGAAATGAGATAAGAAAAAGAAGTCTATCCTACTAAAAATGTAACATAATGATTATAATGTTGATATTGTTATGAGTGGATTATATGCTTAATGTGGCATGCATGATACAGCAGCAGGCATCACTTAACAATTTTATTTCCTTTAATTAAAAAATTCAATGCCAAGTGTAGAGAATCATGTTCCATCAGTTTCCCCCTTTCTTCCTTCATAAGTAAACAGTAACAATCCCACTACATCTTTGATTATATGATTATCCCATTTTCTTACTCATTGTTTTTATAAAAATTGTGTATAACAAAATGCTTTCAATTTCCATGCTTGTATTCAGCTTCTACTTTGATTTTTACTAGTTCTCTCAGGTTTAAAAAATTTGGATTAGTGGTGTTAAAATTATGTCAAAATAACATCAAAACAAAAGCTTTTTTATAACCCATATCCTTTTTTTTGTCTTTTTAAATTGTGTTCATTTTTTTATATCATTTTAAATCGTATCTAAATTATTAGATTTATTGTAAATAAAGGTATTTATGGATTGATTCAAACTAAGCTCATATTTAGTATTAATAATTTATATATTTATTTAGATTCGATTTCACTCAAATTTTTGAATCTTAAAATTGTTTCATGTTTAGCGCAAAATAAAAAATAATAATTTCACACTCATCCATTAAACTTAATTTATATAATAGAATTAAAAATATATGATTAAATTAAATTTAATAAGATTATATTTAATTCATACATATATAAATAAAAAAATAAAAATTATATATGTAAATTTTAAAAAATTATATAAAAGTAACAATTAAATTTTAAAAAATATATATACTTTTTATTTTTTATTTTTATATATATGTAAATTAATTTTTATATAATTTACATATATATAAAAATAAAAAATTTGTATATACATGAATTCAGATTAAGTCAAATCAAATTCAAAATTTAAATTTTTTTTTATCTAAAATCTAATTTAAAATTTAAATGAATCTAAAAATTATATTCAAATTTATTTAATAAATTTTAATTATTTATTCAAACTCTTTCAAACGACTCTCCAAATTTATTCCGATAGCTCGGCGTTAAACAGGACTATTATGGACTTGGATTTTAAGCTTAGCACTTGATGCCGCCTTAAGAGTGTATTTTAGCATGCCTAAGTTAGTCTAGAGCCAAGGCCTTCCAAAGCTTGAGTCTGGGCGTCAGACAAGAGTGTTAAGAGGGACCCAAAAGGTTCTAGGCCCGTGCCTTAGGGCTTTTTGGGGCCTTATATAAGCTTCACGTCCATGTCTAGTGTCTTTGCGTGCTCTGGGGTGTTCGGTGTGATTCGAACGTGTGACCCGGTACTCTTTCGTGTAATATGGTCGCCTAAATTATTCAAAATCAAATGATATTTTTTAATTTTATTAATCAAATTGAATTTTTTAATTTTAAAAATTAATCGATCAAAATTAATTCAGTTAGTTCAATTAATTTTTTGATTAATTGAATAATAAAATATATTAAATTAAATTATATTTTAAATTTTTATTTTTTTATATGTAAAAAATTAAATAAAATTATCCTATAAAAATATTTAAATATCAAATTATTAATTTAAAAACTTTAATAACTTAAAATAAAATAGATAATTTCATACAATTTTAGTTTTTTATAAAGGTTTTATAATATTTCGATTAATTCAATTTGAAAATTGAATTAATTGAAAATTAAAATTTTTTAAAATTATTTTTGGTAACTAATTAAAATTAATTTGATAATTAAATTAATTTAATCGATTAATTAAATTAAAACCAAATAATGAATATCCTATTGGTCCTGTTGAGCGTGCCTGAACTTCGGGTGTGCACGGGCGGGCAACGACATATGCGACATAGCTAACTATGGAGTGTTTTTCACAAAACTAAAAAAAAACGCCTTTTTATTTTAGCAAAGTCGACCCAAGTGGACGTGGGAATGAGAGTTGATCAGAAAACTAAATTAACCAAACCAAACAAATATATCTATATCCATATATGCATTCTCAAATTGACTCTCCACCGTTCTTCAAAGAGAAAATCACTAAAAATTGACAAATTTTTCTTTAAACTACTCTCAAAATGAAAAAAAAAAAAAATTAAAGAAATCTCTTAAAGTTCCCAAAATATCTCCAAAAATCTAGGTATCTATCCTTTCGTAATGATGTTATTTTTCTTCCTTCGTGTTTGACAGGCCCTTCTTTTTCTCTTATGTATAATTTGCAGCCATTTCTCTCATTCAATCCTTAACCATCAAACAAATTTTACCAACCTCTACTTTAAACCCTTTTTCTTTTTTGTTTTTGCTCTTTAATCCCATTTTTTTTTACTTTCATCTCATTGCCTGCTCCATTTTTCATCATCCAACCTTGAAGTCAAACCCAAAGAACCCCAACAAAGACAGAGGATGGCCTTGTGGAGAGCGTCATCAATCCATATAGCCTCACTCCTTGGCCTCCTGTCCTGTCTCATCCTCCACTACACCACCACCACCACCACCGTTGCCGCCATCCGTGCCAGAACCATCATCCACAACCCTTCTCCAATGGAACTTCCCATTTTTAGGGAAGCTCCAGCATTTCGCAATGGTGATTCATGTGGATCAAAGGAGGTTGACAGGATTCATATTGCTATGACCCTCGATGCAAATTACCTCCGTGGCACAATGGCAGCAGTTTTATCCATGTTACAGCACTCAACTTGCCCTGACAACTTGTCATTTCATTTCCTTTGTGCTTATTCCGATGCTGAACTTGCTTCAAGCATTAAATCAACCTTCCCTTACCTGAATTTCACAGTCTATCGTTTTGATTCAAACCTTGTTCGTGGGAAGATATCAAAGTCAATTCGACAGGCTTTGGACCAACCATTAAACTACGCAAGGATTTATCTAGCTGATATATTACCAGCTGATGTAAAAAGGGTTATTTATTTGGACTCAGACCTGGTTGTTGTTGATGATGTAGGAAAGCTTTGGGATGTGGACATGGAAGACAAGGTGTTAGGAGCACCCGAATATTGTCATGTGAACTTGACTCTATATTTCAACAATGCTTTTTGGTCTGATCCAATATTGTCAAAAACATTCCAGGGAAGGAGTCCATGCTATTTCAACACAGGAGTAATGGTGGTGGATGTAGATAAATGGAGAAAAGGAGGGTATACGAAGAAAGTTGAGGAGTGGATGGAATTACAGAAGCAGAAGAGGATATACCACTTGGGTTCTTTGCCACCATTTTTGCTGGTTTTGGCAGGGAACATCAAGGCAGTGAATCACAGGTGGAACCAACATGGGTTGGGTGGAGATAACTTTGAAGGCAAATGTAGGAATCTTCACCCTGGTCCGATTAGCCTTCTCCATTGGAGTGGGAAAGGGAAACCATGGCTAAGGCTAGATTCTAGGAAACCATGTGTGGTTGATCATTTGTGGGCTCCATATGATCTTTACCGTTCATCAAGACATTTTTTAGAAGAATGACAAAAACAAGGAGAAAAGAAATACTAATTGTTAGAAGAAATGGAGATATAATTTGATAGATGGGAAAATATAGGAGAGGAGAGCAAGCAGGTTTTACACATTTTAATTAGATTTTGAAAGAAGCAAATTTCATCATAACTTTTTTTTTTTAAGATAGCCTCACACACTTATTTTTATAAGATAGTACATAGCAGCAGTTATAAATTAACTTCTCTTTTTTTTTTTTTTTTCTGGAAGAAATTATTACCTTCTAATTAATTGTAATATAATTGTTATGTTTAAATTCAGACATTGTCATCAATCAACAAAATCTCTTACAACTTCAAAATACAGGTGTGGGAAATTATCTGCTACAGAAAACAACAGTAAAAAGCCTGCCTCTTTTTATATGATGATGATTTTTTTGTGTTAAATTAAAAAAAAATTATAGATATTAAAATTTAAAATTTAAAAATATTAAATATTATATATCCTTGATTATATGAATTAACTAAACTAAATATTAAATTTTCAATTTAATTCCATTGGTGCTATTAAGTATAACATAATCAAATATTGATTTTTTTTTCTATCAATTACGCTTAATTCAAGTGGCATCGATAAGCCCGATTTGAATAGAAATGGTTAATTCCATGGCCCAACAAAAACTTGCTAGTTCGTAAGGTAGCAAGTGGGTAGCCCAAGGAGATTTTGCGTCTTGATGTTAATCAAATGTTTATACAAACTTGTATTCATCAAATTAATATATATATATATATATGTATATATATAATTTACCAAGTTCTTTTTATAAAGATTTTCCCAAAAAAAAAAAACACTTCTAACAAGCTTAAATGACTAACTCACTTCAATACTTAGATCAATTATTTAAGTAACATAAGTGATCTCTTTTAAATTATATATAAATTATCTTTCAATTCAACATGAGATACACTATATTTTAAATTATCAATGATAATCTCGCAAGTGCTTTTACAACAGTATATATACTTACCTATACATCACATCGACAAAAAACATTAAGAATGGTAGCAACTTTAGTATAACATAAACAATCTGCATTTATGTTTTTGTTAGTTGTTACGTTATGCACGGTGTTAAATGAAGTAAAACATGGGAGACAAGTTTGAGGAATGTATTAGAAAAATTGAGTTCAGTCTCATGTAATTAGTTTTGGATTAATCAAAGGCTGTGAGTCTTGATCTTTTTTTTTTATACAGAGCCCTGACTATTTAATAAAAAGAGGTGAGGCTGTTTTAAGATGGTGTCGTAAACCAAGAAAAGAAATGAAAAAAAAAGTCGGAAAAATAGAGAGAAAATTGAGAAAGGAGAGTTAATTGAATGAAAGTCGATCCGTGATCTGATTGAGCTGAAATTTTGTCAGCAAGTTTATGATTTAGAGTTTTACATTATGAACATTAAAGATTGGGTTTGAAATTTTCTAGGAACAAATCTAAGACGTATTTATTGAGTTACCTATTTTGTGAAATTTCTTCAATTATCTCTCTAATTGTTGATTAACTCTAATTTTAGCTAAAAAATAACTTTGTATATCTAATATTTGATAGTGAAGATTTTTTTAATAGTCAATGTTTTTTCTCTCTACATTGTAAGGTTTTTCACATAAATCTTGATATGTTTTATTTTTCCTACATTATTAATGGTTGATTGTTATTTATTACTGTAGGTTTATTACGATATATTACTTCTACGTTATTGTGTTTATTGCTTCAGGCCTAACAAAACGTTGACTTACTAATTTGGGATCAATAGACATTCCAGATAATGAGGCCGCAACAATTTTGAAAGATACTTGTAACCATGAATGAAGATCGGGGACATACATTATTGACTGTCAATCACCACTCTACAATATCCCATGAATCCATGTTTTATCCCCCCCTTCTTTTTTCTTTCCTTTAGGTCGGAGATGCAATCAGTCTTTAGCAACTCCTTGAATGGTGTCATAGCCACCCTTAATCACAAGGGAACCAATATTAGAAGAAGGTGCCTAGACAGAAAGCCTGCAGAAGATTGACCCTTGAGAGTTAGGTCTATAAGGCTATGGGCATTCTCTCGAGAGGCTTGAGTCATAGCCATACTTTATCAAGCTAAGGATTCAAACTAGGACAATATAGCCATTTGCAGTTATAAACTAGGCAACAGATTTCATTAGTTCAAAAGTACTTTAGCATAGTTGCATGCATGCCAACTAAATGGCTCCTCTAGATCAACTGGAGGAAGATCCTTACTCCTTTTCTCCATTAAGAACTCTTCTATATTTACCATATTATTAGTACTCTCTGCCTCATTATCACTATCTTCATCTGTTGTGCCTTCAAAAACTGACGCAAAAGAAGTTAATCTTTGTGTCTGCCATGGGGCAAACCTAACTGTTCCAGGGAATGTTGCCTCCATACTTTTCCCAGAGAGTCCTCATCCACTTGTGATAATTTTCCATTCAAGAGAATGCTCTGCATTTGAAACTATTCCAATCAATGGAGTCCCATCAAAAGATAAAACCATTCTTCTTGGAAAAGGCATTGTCACATTGCAGAATTCCATTGTCAAAGGAGATTTATTGCCTTCCATTAGGCACAATTTGAACAACAATGCACCTTCATCCTCAGAGACCATAGACAATTGATAGAATCCCTTTATAAGAGGTCCAAAGCCGCATTTTGCATGATAACGCATCAAAGCAAAATTACCCAAAGGTGATGAGAACACCAGAGCCTACTTATCCACATTTGCTCTGGAACTTAAGCACAGGGATGGAATGATAAAGCCTCATCTTAGATGTACTCAACCCTGTCAAGGGGAGAGACACATCAGGCAGTCTTTCCAATTCTGCTTGACAGTTTATTTGCCCAGAGACTGATGATAAACTATCTGGAATCTCATCTCTATCATACATAGCAGCATGAAGAGTTTCATGAATGGTGAATAGCAATCTCCGTTTTTCTTTGTACAGATGGGCCTTTCATGCTGGCTGTTTGGGCTCTTCTGGAGGCAAATCCAATGCTGAAAAGCCATTAACCTTGATAGAGAACATATTGGAATAGCTGAGGTCCAGATTTATTATTAAGAACCAAGAATTTGAGTCTCGAATGCAGCTTAGTTTTTCTTCCTTTGGTAATGTTAGCCCAGCATTGCAAACCCTAGATTTGGGCCTATGGGCTTAAGTTTGGGCCTATCAGGATTCTCCCATAAGGATAGTTTGGCCCATTAAAGTCGATGTATTCTTTAATTTTTTTATATATATCATAATTTGAAAATAAAAAAATTGTAAAATTAAAATTTAAATTATAAACTTATTAAATATTATTTTTTAATGATGACGAGGTTAAGCATCGCGTAACTTATAATTTTTAGCAAAATGGAACAATGCAAATTTTATTATCATATATATACACCTTAATTTGTATTTTTTTTTATCATGTATTGACCATTAACATAAATAAATCTTAAAGTAATACGAAGTCTTCTTTCTTAAATATTTTAAAATTCTTCAATAAAACAATCTACCAAGTAAAATTCATATGTTTAATCCAACTGATAATACATATTTATATATCGAAATACAAACCATATAAAATATAAAACTATCTCTTAAGATCTCATTGGCCAACATAGCTTCCGACGACTAAGTAATATTTTTCATTTCATCTTTTAGCTTCACACAAGACTAACCAAACCTATCACTTAGTCATCTATAAAGAAAAAGTAAAAAATGAATAAGCAAACCACAGCTTAGTAAGTATAGGCTCACACACCTTATCAAATCAAGCATCGTTTTCTTACACATCATATAGATCATTCAAAACATTCATCAAATCATAATATCAAAACATTTCAAGATCATCATTTTGTCAAATATTTCAGAAATTCATAAATCAATGTCAAAATATGTCACTTTATAAATCATTGTAAAATATGCTATCATTCAAATATCATAATAATAATAAAAAATCATAGATCAATCATTAAAAATCATCGTAAATCATCATCATCATAAATCATCATTATCATTAGTTTATCGTTAGCTACGGTCACTGCTATAACCCGTTACATTGGCCGTATCGACAATTTCATTCTCATGATCATTGCTAACTATTATAACCCGTTAGCCAAGGCTTACGCTAACTACTATTATCCGTTAACAGGGTCGTATGATCATGTCTTTGCTAACTACCCATTAGCCAAGGTCGTAGAACTAGTTCTGGTGTTGATGATCCCACTTTCCAGGGATATACAAACGTAGCTATCATAAAATCATTCTTTAAACATAAATCATTTTCTCATTTCATTCATAAGCATGATCCATCATTTACATAGGAAAAAAACAAAATAATCATATGCTTGATCTTATTTTCATACATCAAAAATAAAGAAATAAAACATTCTTTCATTTAGAACATATATATATATATATATACATAGGTTCAAAAACAAGCAAAGTGTGTGAGATTCTACTTACCTCCATTCGATTCCACCACTTAGTTTTTTCTTCAAAATAATTAATGACCTATCCAAGATCATTTCAACAGATCAGAATTTAATCAACCCTTTTTGAGACCATTTATACAAAAATCAACTAAGTTACATAAGAGTTAACTTAACTAATTGATACTGACAGCCTAACCTCTTTTCATTAAAATAGTCATATCTCAATATATCCAAATCGAAATTATGATCTCTTTAATACGTTAGAAACTAAACTTGATAAGCTTTTCTAACCATATATGGCACACATCGTAATTCTTTGTAGATTAATTATAACAATTTTTGAAATCCACGTTATATACTGCTGTCAAACAGCCTATATGCCTTCTAATAAAAATTATATATTTATTCACAGTAAACTCTAAATTCAATTCCGCTTATTTCATTGGAAAGTAGACTCAATAAGCTTTCCAAAAATATATGGCTTAATTTGTAAATCTTTGTATACAAATTAAGAAGAATTTCGTAATTCAACCCTAATGCTGCTGTCTCACAGCCTGCATATCCTTAAGTTAAAACTAAACAACTCTTTATAAAAAACTCGGATTTAACTTTCGTTTATTTCATTAGAAACTAGATTTAACATGCTTTCCAGTGATATATAATAATCACAGCAATAATCTATCCATTAATACAAAATTCTATTTTAATTCATTATTACAGATCATAACATCTCATCCAAAAATAGAATTTCTCCTTCAATCTTTAAAAACTCAAATCCTTACTTTCAGCCTTTAAACTCCATTCAATAATCATTAATAAATCTTAAGAACATGAAATAAACAAAGCCCAGTAATTTACCCAAATAGATCATCAAGATTAATGAAGGATTTCGTGATTTTTCTTGATTTTTGCTCTCAAAACTTCAACTCCAAATAATAGCAATCAACTTTATATTTCTTTTTAAATAAAAAGAGGGCATGTACTCACTTTTAAAGGATTAACTTGATTATAACCTTTGATTGTGAATCTCCAACTTGATTTTTCATATTCTCTAACCCTAAAGAAAATGAGAAAAAAGAACTCTATTTCCTTTCTGTTTAACATTGATAGAGAACATATTGGAATAGCTAAGGTCCAGATTTATTATTAAAAACCAAGAATTTGAGTCTCGAATGCAACTTAGTTTTTCTTCCTTTGGTAATGCTAGCCCAACATTGCAAACCCTAGATTTGGGCTTATGGGCTTAAGTTTGGGCCTATCAGGATTCTCCCATAAGGATAGTTTGGCCCATTAAAGTCGATGTATTCTTTAATTTTTTTATATATATCATAATTTGAAAATAAAAAAATTATAAAATTAAGATTTAAATTATAAACTTATTAAATATTATTTTTTAATGGTGACGAGGTTAAGCATCGCGTAACTTATAATTTTTAGCAAAATGGAACAATGTAAATTTTATTATCATATATATATACACCTTAATTTGTATTTTTTTTAATCATGTATTGACCATTAACATAAATATTCAGATAAGTTTTATTTTTTATTTTAAAATAAGTAAAATTTATAAACTTTATTTAAAAAATGTATTCTTATTACTCAATTAATCAAATCTTTCCTAATTTCATTATTATGTGGGAAATTATAAAATTCAAATCATAAATTATTATCTCCTTAAAAATATTCATTAGAATTATAATGACAATTTTTTAAAATTAACTGATTAATGTTGAAGCTAATGAAGAGAAGAAGAAACAAATTTTAAAAATATTTTATTTACATAAATTCACCATAAAAAAAAATTATTTGGGTTTATGTGTTGTACAAAGTTTATACAAAAATCTATAATTGAAAATGCCATAGCTTAAAAAATAAAATGAATTAAATTGAAATGATATGGATTGAGCAAGTAAAAAATACCAAATTTTTTACAAAAATGGTTGTAAATGAAGTACACTAATGATTTGTGTATCTATATCATATAAAATATTAAAATTTATATATTTATATTATATTTTATAAAAAAATGAATAATAATTTATATCGACATGAAAATATAAAATATATATTTTTTATTTTATTAAATTTAAATATAATTATTATTAAAATTTTTAATTATATCATTTTCGTATCTTATATTCATATTATATTTATATCGTATTATCATATCATATTTTAAATTATCATATTTAAAATAAAATATTTTTTCATGCACTTTTTAACCTGTAATGCTATATACATTATATATAGAGAAAGTGAAAGAAGGATAATTAGAACACCTCTCAGCGTCTTCTGCATTCGATACCCTATTAGGCAAAGAACTTTGTCTTGAATTTGTGAGGAAGAAAAAAACAAACAAACAAACAGCGAAAGAGCTAATTGCTGCACAAAACACATTGAAGTGTTTTTATTTTATTTTATTATATTGTTTTTTTTTCATTAATAGAAATTGACTGACAACACCAATGCTTAACCCTTTGTTGTTGGTGAAACTGTAATTTTGAATTAAATTTTTAAAATTATTGTACAATAAATCATGTTTATGCATTAAATATAAAATTTATTATATATTTTTTATTAAAGTTATATATAATTTTCATTAAAATATTAAATTGTATTATTTTTATAATTTTTATATTATTTTATATTATGTTATTATGACGTGTTTAATAGTAAAGTCCGTTAAAATTAAGCAACATCACAAAGTTTTAGTGCACAAAACATTTCTCAAAAAGCAAAAGACAATGTTTTACGCTACAGTAAATCAGTAATACGTTTAAGTTAATAAAGTATAATTAGTCCACTAATTAAAAATTTCAGGGATTGATTAGAAAAAGCTTTAAAATCAATTCCCAAAAGGGTTATTTACAGAGAACTAGCCATTCCCACAAGCATAATAGGAGCATTTTACTTCCTCTGGCAGCCAAGGGACCCATCGAAAATCCTCTGTTAGGGTTTCCCCACTCTCCCAATTAAAAATGGAATCTTTGCATTTTAAACCATTCCAAGTTTTCTACTTTATATAAAGTTTTAAACTTTAGAGTTCAAATCCATTTCAAGTCAGAAAAAAAAAAAAAAAAGCCTAAAATGAGGGGCAGAAAAAAGGCAGATATGAAAGCATCAAGCAGCAGCAGAGAAGGAGTGTTAGGACATCAACCAACAGCCAACCCTTGCAAATTCTTTCAACTCCCTCGCCGTACAATCTATGACATTCTCTCAAGGCTTCCCATCAACACCCTTTTCCATTGCAGGTGTGTTTGCAAGACATTCCTCCGTTTCATTTCTGATCCCGATTTTGGAAGGCTCCACCTTTCAAGATCACCCCTTTGCATTTTAATCAAGACCATGCCACTCCAAAATGCTTCAAAAAGGCTCCAGTTAGCCCAAGTCGAAGCCAATGGTGCAAATTTCCAGGTCTTGAAACTCAACTTTACTCCCAAATCAAATTTACCCACTTGTGATATTTCTTATATGAATGCATGCAATGGTTTGCTTTGTTTAGTTGGAGCTGAAAAAGATTATTCCTTCTATGTTTGTAACCCAATTTTGGGTGAATTTATCACAATTCAACCACCTTATAACGACAGGCACAGAGGTAGTTTTTTGGGGCTTGGTTATTCAGCTGTGACTAATCAATACAAAGTTTTGTTCAGCTACTATCCGGTAATTGAATCGGCTAACCGTTATGTAATGGCTGAGATATACACCATTGGGACTGGTTCATGGAGAAGCATTGGAAATGCACCTACTGACACTGTTGCTTTACCTTTCAATGCTTTCTTGAATGGAGCTCTTCACTGGTTTCCTTGTACTCCTAATGGTAGTGAATTCATACATTCTTTTGACTTTGATGCTGAGCAGTTTGGGACCCTTCCCCCACCTGATCATTTTCGAGAAGACGATAAGAAGTTTACAAATTACGCAAGGATCGGAGTGCTAGGAGGTTGTTTGTTTATAATTTACTTCACGAATTCAATAAGATTTGACATTTGGGTTATGAAGGAGTATGGCGTCAAGGAGTCTTGGACCAAACAGTTTGTTATTGAAAATTTGTACCCAAAGCAAGGCAGCTGGGATTTCTATGAACCAATGATCGTTTTGAACAATGGAGAAATTTTGATGTTGTACAATAATGATGCAGTGGTTTGTTACAATCAGAAGAGGAAGAATCTTCGAGGAACTAAATTTTTCCGGACTCGCTCACAGTTTGATGCAATTGCTTACACCCCTTGCTTTGTTTCTCTCTACAATGTTGCAAAAGGAGAGCAAATTTCAAGGTGCTATTATAATCCTGAAATTAGCATATGCTTCATATATTTACAAATTGTAGCCAGAGCACTGATAGCTTAGACTTCAACTAACAATCTGGTGGGTTAGATGTCTTGCAATTGGACACATTTTTCTGACCGATGTGAAATACTTGTGCATTTGCTTTGTGTCAAATGAGTGTCAATAGATATTTTCATTCTCGTAGGTTGTTTAATTTATTTCCTCGGTGTCATATTATATTTCATGATACTGAGTTCTGTTCATTCAAGATTATAATAGCATAGGAGTCGTGAGTATAGCCTGAAGTTTGCACCATATACAACTAAACTTAACATAGCAATGCACTATAGTACTAGGATTAGACTGATTTGGCCTGCTGACATAAAATTAAAACTTCTGGTCTGAAGATAATGCCTTTCATGCCATTTTAATAGTAGACAGAACTTTAGCCATTTAAAGCTAGAGTATAAACTAGAAGTATGAAGATGTGCTCGCTTGATGCTTGAGTTGTTAGATTGAGACATGAAGCTGTGTGCTTTTCTTGGATGCTTATTCAAATAGATTTTCTTCCATGTACACATTATACAGTTCTATTCCCCATTTCACAATGGTTAATTAATAAGCTGAGAAGTTATTAATATATAGGATGCAAGGCACCAGAGACTATGACAAGATCTGTACAGAGGAATTCCAAGACTGTGCTGGTTGTGGAGCACCACTCGTTAACCCTGGCTATGGTTCAGCTTTTTGGGTTCCCTATGGAGCTGTAAATGACCATGTGAGTTTTATTGTTTCCTTGAATTTTTATGAGTCTCCCATTTAATATGCATTGGTTGTGATTTAATGATAGATAAAAAGTAAAATTTTCAGGTAGATTTGTATGGAAGAAACTCAGAGATCATCAGATGCACAGCTTGTCACAAACACCAAGTTGCTTCTGAGAAATCTTTTCTGACCCTATGGAGTCTATGAAGACGAAAATGGTAATTTATAAAATGAGGAGCCATTTTGACTATGGTACCGAGTAAATCCTTCGGAATTTTTACTATGAGTTTCAGGACTGAACTTTTTTAATGTCCTATTTGTGATGTAGTACTAATCCATATTTTACTGCTCTTGGTGCTTGTAAATATTGAGGCATCCTCCTGTTGAACTAGGGAAAATTTGGTATGCTAATTGGTAGAGTAGTTTACTCTTCCATATAAACAGAGAACTGGCATGACTTTGGTCATTGAAGTAATATTTCCTTTGATCTCCAGAAATGGACCTTTCAGGGCCCTGGACCATTGTAGCTTAGAAACTAGATGGAGCATACAAGGCATTCTAGTCTTCAAAATGTGACATCCATTTGCTACTGTGCTGACTAAAGAAGGAAGAGATGCCCCACCATTCCGAAGAGAAATAGGGTATGCTAGTTAATCTTTCTGTTGCTAGGGAACTTTGACAATCCACTTGTGTTTTCCCGTGAAGAAGCTGTTACATACGAATGTTCTATGAAAGTAGCCATTGGCCTATATCAAAAAAAAAAAAAAAAAACTCATTGGCAAATTTTGATCTTGACCTATTCCTCTTCGAAACTATATCAACATTCAGCTGTTTCAGCATGATTCTGTTGGGTTTAATTCAGGTTGGAACCGAAAACATTAAGATATATCTTACTGATAAACGTATGACTAACGTGCAACAAAAACGACCGAACAGTCAACAAAAATATGACAACCCAATAAAAATGGTGAAGTGAATTGGCAAGCCGAAAAATGACAAACATGCAACAAAAAGGTGACCGAACAGGTTTATAAAGCCCGCCACAAGTTCCTGCTGAATCAACTTCCACAGTCTAAACAAAGCAATTCTGGGATTAGTTTCATTAAGATTCAATCCAACCATTTTCAAGTCTTAAACCCATCAGAACAAGAAAAAAAATTGCATGTGGCCATGGATAGGAGAAATGGAAAACTAACAAGAGCTTGTCGAGATGGCAACGAGGGAAAAGAAGCAAAAGGGCTGTTGACAGACCTTCCTATTGGTATAGTCATGGACATACTTTCATCCCTTCCTTGGAAGTCCCTTTTCAACTGCAGGTACGTTCGCAAAACTTGGCTACAAATCATCTATGATCCGCACTTTGCGTAACTTCACCTCTCAAGATCACGTATCAACATGTTAATCCATAATGAAAGACCCAGAAGTGAATCTAGAAACTTACTTTCATATCAAACAGATAAAGCTCCTCATAGTGACCGCATTCCGATTGAGGAAATGGTGTTTACTCCTAGATTAAACTTACCCAAGTCTTCATTTGAGCTTTGCAATTCTTGCGATGTGTTGATTTGCTTGTCTGGAATCAAAAAGAAATTAGTTCATGTTTGCAATCCAGTTTTAGGTGAGTTCATCACCATTAAAGTGCCTGATGAGGATAAGAGATGTAGTTTTATTTTTGGATTCAGTTTTAAAACTAATGAATACAAAGTGTTGCTAACTTTTGATATCAACGAATCCGGACCAAAAGCTGAAGTGTATACCAATGAAGCAGGATCATGGAGAAGTTTGGGAAATGCCCTTGATTGCATTGGTACCATGCTCTTTAACACATTTTGAACATGGAGCTTTTCGCTGGGTTGATTATTCTAATAATCAAATTGTTTGTTTTGACTTTGAGGAGTTGTTCAGGGAAGTTCCAACCCCACCTCAGTTCCAACCTGAGTCTGATGATTGTTTGATGTTGGGGGTAATAGAAGATTGTCTCCGTGCTTCTTGTTATCGTGATGATGATTCCTATCGATTTGTTATTTGGGTTATCAAGGATTACGGTTCTAGGAGTCATGGACTACACAGTTCCGCATTAAACATACGTTTTTATCTGACAGCCATTGTGATATCTATTATCCTCTAATGCTCATAATGGGAGAATCCTACTGTCAAACAATGATGAGATGGTTGTTTGTTACAATCTGGAAAGGAAAAGATTCAGGGAGATTGATATTTATGCCAAAAGAGATACCTTTAATCTAACTTCAAACGCTCCATGCTTCGTTTCACTCAACGATGTTGCAAAAGGAGAACAAATCTCAAGGTACCAAAAACTTATCATCTTTCAATGGATTTCTATACATAGTATTCATTTTCCTAAAAAAATTTCCTAAAGTTTTTGTGCATTCATTGTCAGAGTTTGAAACAGAATTGAATTGGGGATGTAAATGCTGTCATTTTATACAGATTTTGTCTTGGTTAAGTTGCTCACCTTCCAAATGACATGGGTGTTGGCATGACATTTCAAAAACAACCAGGAGATGCAGTGGAAACTATGACAGAATTCTTTGTTGAGGGATTAAAATTGCAGCTGCTTCAACAAGTGTCTCTTGTCAAAATCCAGATGAGTTTCCTTTTCCTTTACATTTTACTAATTTATTTCTTCCTTGAATTGATGAGTTTGATTATTCCATTTGTCATGTTGCTGTTTGCAAATTTAAAACCATGGAATGACAAGTTTCAGCCACGAAGGGGACGTGGCTACCTTTTGCAGTTAGCTGTGGGCAGTTGAAGCTGTGATATTGAAGTGACATGCAGTTTCTTTTATAACAACGAGAGCAATTTCATAATGAAGTTCCTTTGATGAAAAATCCACTCTTCTTCCATTAAGTTTATGAAGGTTTTTATCGAGGTTTATACTTCTCTTAGGGAGTAACTCAGTTTCTATGAATAAAAACCAAATTCTGCTGAAGCTATAATACATTGTGATTTTGATGTTAAAGGGGACTTTCACTTTCAGTGTAAAAGTTATGGGAATTGCTTCTGATTGATAGGCCCTTACAAGGAGTGCTGCAACTATATACATGGATATCTCACAATGATATAATCTAAAAAATTTCTCACAGTTGATACGGAATCAAAGTTTTTGAAAATAAGAAGCAAGAACACTATTGTAAAAGAATAACTGACATCAATAAAATATGTGCTCTTCAAGATCAGAAAACTATAGTTTGACAACATGGAGGTTCCTAGTATTATTAACTGCTCTCTGATTGACAACATGAAGCTTATTCCTAGGTTCAACCTACCCAACACTTCGTTTGAACTTGTCAATTCTTGCAATGGGTTGGTTTGCCTATCTGAAATAAAAAGGGGAATCAGTCTACGTTTGTAATCCAACTTTGGGTGAATTCATTACCATTGAAGTGCCTCATGAAGACAAAAGACATTGTAGATCCTTCTGTTTTGGCTACAGTGTTAAAACTACGTGTCGCAGACTTTTCGTGTCAAAGGATCTGGTTCAGGGCCAAAAGCTGAAGTGTAAACTGTTGGGATAAGATCATGGAGAAACCTAGGAGATGCCCTTTGTTATTCTAATGGTGAAATTGCCTGTTTCGGCTTTGAGATGGATATATTCTGAGAAGTTCCAGCAGCCCCACCACACTTCAAACCAGATCCAAATGATTATTTGAAGTTGGGAGTGCCAGAAAACTGCTTGTGTGCTTGTTATCCTGATCACCAAGCTGATCCAAATAAAGCAGAACAAATTGCTCTGGAAGAATTTGGCGTCTGATTAAAACAATGTCTTTTGCAAAGTACTTTCCAATATCCATTACATTTCTCAGCCAAATCAATAACAAAAGCCAAAAATTTGCTCTGAATTAGAGGATTATTGAGGTAATTTTCCACATTCTTACAATATGAAATTTTCACCTCCCTTTGCCGTTCTTCCTTTTCTCATTGCATGCCTTCAAAGCTTGAACCTCTATCCAAAAAGAAGCAGAAATTTGGTCAAAGAATTAAGTTTTCCAATTGGGTTTTTTAGAAAGAAGAAAATCAAGGAATTCAAAGCATACCCATTTGACAAGATTTCCAATTTCTATTGCTTTTAACAAGACAATCCTGAAAAAAAAATGCAGTGAATATATAAAAGGTTTTAACTAGGGTTTTAGAGTGGTTTAAAGAACAAAAACAAAAGAGATGTTCTTTTATTTACTTGTAAGGATAAGTAGAGAGCAGAGCATTCCTTGAGCTGCTTCACGTTCTCATCTTCATCGGTGGCGTCGTCTTGGTGGACCGCCGCTTCCTGTAGTGGAGACAGAGGCGGAGATTTTGGTGGTGGCGTTGCTTTGTTCATATTTTTTAGTGTGGGTTGTGGCGTGTGCCGTGTGGTTTAGCCTTTATATATTGGGTCAAAATAAATAGGCTTAAGCTTACCCCCCTTTGAGTTGAATAACGAAAAAAAAATTCAGCAACTAGTAATTTTAATTTTTTAATAATTATGTTTATGTTTTTATATGAAAATTTGAATATAAAGTTTTTAGTTTACTATTATGTAAAATTTTGAGTACAAACATCTCGCAAAAATTTGATTTTCTTATCATATTTGTTATAATGTATACATTTGTGAATTCATCATTAGGTATATACTCAGGAATTACTACTAATTTTTTTGTTAAAGTGTTATTGGTCTTATGACATAATTTATCCTATTTAAAAATGAGTTTTAAAATTCACTTAGATATTTTTAAATAGTAAATTTTAGTTTATGAAATTAATTTTATGTTCGAGAGTATAATTATATGTGAATAATATTATAAAACCCTCACAACATCCATTCAAAAAATAATACTAGTTTAATTTTAAATTATCTAAGTCTTAAAATATTATTATCATTTTACCAAATCATTTAATTATTAGAAACTAATTCTAAATTTGCTCAAATAGTTAGGTAGTAATTTAAAATAATTTTTTCAGCTCAGGAATATTTATAAAGACTAATGTCCCACTCTGAAAAAGTTCCATCATCGGGGTTCATTGATATATTTTTTATTCAAGAAAATAATTAGTAAAATATTTTAATAGTTTTGTAAGATTTATTTTGATACAGATCTCCTAATAATTTGGTGAGATTTTCTTGAAAATTTATTTTTAAAAAATGTATTAAATCATTTAATAGTTTGGTAAGATTTAATTTATGATACAAAATTTTTAATAGTTTAGTAGGATCAAAACAAAATATTTTATTAGCAATAATTTTTTATAAAAATTGATTTATGAGATTCTCCAATAGTTTGGTAAAATTCATAAAAAATTTAAATTCATGAAAAATCTTCTAATAGTTTGATAGGATTTATAAATTTATTTTAAAAATATTTTTTGTTATTATTTTTAAATAAATAAATAAATAAAATGAAATTGATAAAGGCATTTTTAAAAAAATAATAAAATTTTTAATTTAAAGTAATGAGTAAAATAATAATTAAAGATGAAAATAATAATAAGTAAAAATTTAAAAAAAACTAAAAATAAAATAGAAAAAGTAAAATAAAATAAAATCAAAATAGAAATTAGGATGAAAGAAAAAAAAAATGCGATCAGATCAGGCTTGAAGCACGGATTTTCACGCCGATAGCTAGGTTCACACAAAAAACTTCAAATTTTAACCAAAAAAATTCATCCTAAACCTAGAAAAACCCAAAAAAAAAAATTTCAAATTCTTAAAAACTCAACAAAGATCCCATAATCAAAAGTTAATAAAAAAACCCTAACAAAAATATCATAAACTTAATAGAATGTAAAATCAAACTCAAAAATTAAAAAAGCTTGAATGATTTCTCCTTAAAATTAAAAAAAAAAAAAGAAAACTAAGATCCCTAAAATATTTATTTATTTTTTCTTTGTGTATGTTTCAATTTATTTATCGGGATTGAATCATTTTAATTTTGAAAAATAAATCAAATTGATTATGATTTTATTACGATTATGTAATCTATAATTTGATTTTGAGTTTCTCTTTTTACAAGATTTGTATGAATCAAGCCAAAATCCATTGTTTTCTGATTTCTCTTTTTTTTAGACTTTTTTTTCTCACTTTTGACTTTTTTTTAAAAAAAAATATGTAAAATAAAAATAAATAAATAAATCATATCATATCATATCAAACTAAAATTGAAAAATTTTCTATTGAGCCTGAAGCTTCCCAATCGGGGCCCAATTTTATGGTCAAAGCCCATATTCGACCTCGAAAAAAATTTTAGATAAAATGAGGTGTCTATAGTTGCCCCTCTTTGCATAGTTTTTATGAAATAGGAATTATACAAAGATAAAAGATATCTATTTTGTATGGGTTGAAAAAAAACAAAAAAAAAAAAATCTTGAAATCCAAAGATTCATAATTTGAAAATTTAATGGTTCACAAAATTTCAAAAATTTGCAAAGCTCTATAACAATAATTGAAAGATTCCAATACTTCAAGATTTGCAAGAAATTCATAATGATGTCAAAATTTCAAAGATTCAAGATTCGTAAAGATTTTCAGATTCGTAAGGATTCTAAGTTGTGCAAAGATTTTAAAAGTTTGTAAATGATTTAAGATTCTCAGAGATTTTAGATTCACAAAAATTTAAAGTTTAGCAAAGATTTCATATTTACAAGATTTCAAGTTTTTCAGAGATTTTAAATTTACAAAGGTTTTAGATTCATAACAATTTTCAAATTCACAAAAATTTTTAAGTTTTACAAAAGTTCTAGATTTGTAAACGTTTCAAATTTGCAAAGATTTTAAGTTTCATAAAAGTTTCAGATTTACAAAGGTTTCAAGTTTCCCAGAGGTTTTAGATTCGCAAGAATTTAGAATCACAAGAATAGAAGATTTACAAGGTTTTCAAATTCGTAAGAATGGAGGATTATCAAGAAATACTGTTTCACAAGAATTTTCAAATTCGCAAGAGTTTCAAATTCTTAAAAATTTCAAATTTGTAAGAATTTCAGTTTCGTAAGAATTTTAAGTTCATAAGAAATCAAAGATTCGAATTCAAATTCACAATAACTCAAATTGGCAAGAATTTTAATTTCAAAACAATTTCAGGTTTGTAAGAAATCAAATATTCGAATTTTAACTTCGCAAGAACTCAGATTCGCAAGAATTTCAAGTTCACAAGAAATCAAATATTCACATTTCAGATTCACAAGAATTTAGATTCGCTAGAATTTCAATTTCGCAAGAATTTTAATTTCAGAAGAAATCAAATATTCTTGCAAGAATTTCAAATTCGTAAAAGTTTCAATTTCACAAATATGGAAGATTTGCAAATATCTAAGTTTCACAAGAACTTTAGGTTCGCAAGAATTAAGATTTGCAAGATTTTCAAATTATCAAGGATTTCAAATTTTTAAATATTCACAAACTGTACTTCACAGAGAAGATTCAAATATTCATATTCAAAAGATTTAAAATTTCATAAAAAAATTTATGGATTCACATAAAAGATTTCAAGGTTCATAGCTAGAATTCAAAGATTCTTATTCAAAAGTTTTAGAGTTTCACATCCAAAAGTTAAAGATTTTCCTTCAAAAAATTTAAAGATTTACATCCAAAATTGCAAAAATTCATATTCGAAAAATTTTAAAAATTAACATCTAAAAGCTGAAGATTTTTATTCAAAAAAATTTAAAGATTTACATTAAAAAAATTAGAGATTCACATCCAAAGTTTCAAAAGTTCTTTTTCAAAAACTTTATGGCTTCATACCTAAAGATTCTTATTTGAAAAAAAAAATTAGGGTTTTGCATCCAAAATTTTAAATATTCTTATTCGACAAGCTTTTTTAAACAAAAGCTATATATTTAAAAAGTTTGGAAAGTTTTTCTTATAAAAAAAAATCTCATCACAAAAGATCTTCCTTATTCGAACATTCAAAAGTAAAAAAATTTTCTCCAATCAAAGTCAAATTTTGCATGCAATAAATGTTAGTGCAAATGTCTTCTACATGTTGCAAATTTAACAATCGAGATTTTCACTAAATTATGCAAATGCATGTCTTAAACAATAATGCAAATGTCATACTATGATTTAAATATTCTTTACATGACACAAATGCTTACCCCAACCATGATGCAAATGCAATATTCAAAACAATAGTTTAAATATTCACCAAATAATGAAGATGCATGGTCCAATCTACTATGCAACTTAGAAATTCCCCAAATGATACAACAAAAGCTATATATTTAAAAAGTATGGAAAGTTTTCCTTATCAAAAAAAAAAAAATCTTATCATGAAAGATCTTCTTCATTCAAACATTCAAAAGTAAAAAAATTTTCTCCAATCAGAGTCAAATTTTGCATGCAATAAATGTTAATGCAAATGTCTTTTAAATGTTGCAAATGTAACAATCGAGATTTTCACTAAATTATGCAAATGCATGCCTTAAACAATAATGCAAATATCATACTATGATTTAAATATTCTTTTCATAACACAAATGCATGCCTCAACCATGCTGCAAATGCAATATTCAAAACAATGGATTAAATATTCACCAAATAATGAATATGCATGGTCCAATCCACTATGCAACTTAGAAATTTCCCAAATGATGCAAATGCATATCCAAATAATTTTGCAATTGCAATTATCATAAAGACTTGTACATTTACCATATAGTGCAAAAACAATTATCAAAACAAAGCATTTTTGTTGCCCTAGAAAGTCACTCGTGTCATATTGATTTGAAAATTACTTTTCTCACATCCATTAAAATTCATATATACAGTATTTCAAATTTGAAAATTTTCAAAAACTCCCAAAAGAATGGTAATCAATTGCCCCAAAAATTATCCAATATATCACTTTTTCATAACCAAAATGTATCAACATGTGACATTTAAATCTCTCTAAAGCTGGTGATTACTTCCCAGAATGAATTAGGAGGATCTTGGTTTTTTCGAAAGGATGAAAATGTTTGGCATATCAGGATTTTAGCTATTAAAAAGGACTTTGTCATTGAATAAAAAAGAAAATCAATATTTTTCATTTAGGCTCATAAATGAAAGTTTAAATTTAAAAAATGAATCTTTTTTAAAGCACAATTCATTTTGGCACTCCCTTAGATTCTTGAAATGGGGCATTTTAACAAATGTCAAGATTGATTATGATAGGTTAAAAATTTCTATGAGAGAAAAAAAGGCTTAAATTTTAAAACAAATCTTCATATTGAAGTTTATCTTCTTGAATTTCTTAAAAGTCTTCATTGTTCATTGGTTCCTTTAAAATCACTTTCTCTAATGAACTTACTTGAGTTGCTTTCAAACTTAATCCAGATTGTCCTTTTGCATTTTTACCTTAGAGCTTTATTCAATCTTTTTTTTTTTATTTCGACTATTCAATCATGCATTTGAAAACTCAAAATTC